TTGTAAAATCTATGTTTGAACCAGTCACGACCTTATGTTTTGTTAATTATATCAATAAGAGAATGAGCTTTTGCAGGTATGAGTGTCAGCGTTTCGCCGAAAGTTCAGGTTCTGGGAAACAAAGGAGAAATGTGACCGCCCCATTTTCGTAAAGCTCTTGTTACAGATTCGGACATTTTTCATAATTTAAAGAATTACTTTAAACGTATTGTTGACGAAATAAATTGATTCGAATTAAAAATAATAAAATAAAAAAATAAAGCTAATATAAAAAGCATTAATATTGAAGCCAAAGAACTTTTTATTGGTAAATATGAATATTTATAGGAGGGTGTTTTTAACATTTTATCTTAAAAATGTATTAAAGTTAGTTTTTAATAAAGTTAATCTCCAATTTGGAAAAAATCCTTTTAAATAAGCATTTGTATAATCAAATCTTTCACCCCAAAAATGATTGAAGAAAATAAAAGCCAAAAATTGTGGTTTAACAATCTTTTGGACTTTCAATTTTTTGGTTTCGAGTAGTGGAATTTTAAATTGGAATTTTGAAATTTGCTTATACTTGTACTTTCGCAGATGCCTTATTTCTACCTCGTACTGGTACCAGCATAATTTTGGCCTCTTAAACGTACTTCGTACGCAAATACGAGTACGAATTTTAGTACGAGCTTCCAAATACTGGTAGTAGTAGGTTACTATGTTTTATTAACATAATAATTAAAAGCTGGAAAGGCTGTGAACATGTGAGAGGGGTTTAAATAAATGTGGAGAGGAATAAAACAAATGTTGCTCCGTTTGATTCAGATAACGGCGTCTTCGATGTAAGAATGAGTTTTTCCATTTCAGCCTGTTTTCCTGAAAGGTAAAATTCGGAACCAATTAAAACTTAGTTAATGATACCCAAAAGATTTTGGATTTTCTAAACTGTTTATCAAAATTGTAAAAATTAATTAAAATAATTTTACAATAAACAAACACTAAAATTATAAATGTAAATAATAAACAAACAATAAATTATTATTAATAACATTCTTAAATTTAGCCTAGGCCACGTTTAGTAAGGTGTTTTTTGTTAAATTCGTGGCTTTTATTTAATAAACATCTTTTATTATTTACAGAAAGGAACCCCAAGGGATACCCCCATCAATCGTCATTATATCAACAGTGAAAGTAATGCTGTCGACTGTAATTATAAGAACTTTTGACAAAAATTTATGACAAAATAAAAATAGCTTAGTAATTTAATAATCGAATAAAGAGGTTTTTAATAAAAAACAATTTTTATAATAAAAATAAGACGGGGTTTAAGTTTTTTAAAGATAATTTCTTAAAGATTTTTGAATAAGACAGTTTTTTAGAGCCTTCTGACAGAATCTTTGGCTCTATCTTAGGACATGCGTCCCATGGACATTTATGCGTCCCATAAACAAAAAATTGAATTTTTCTTGGTGTTGCAAAGTTGAGGTATGGTTCCAAAGCATTTCTTCATGTTCGGGACCTACGCCCACTGGGTCTGGGACCGTTCCTTACCCTATCCATCGAAATTTCTGAAAGTTATAGCCATTTTTAAAAATTTCAGTTAAACGATTTTAACTTTCAGAAATTTCGATGGATAGGGTAAGGAACGGTCCCAGACCCAGTGGGCGTAGGTCCCGAACATGAAAAAATGGTTTGGAACCATACCTCAACTTTGCAACACCAAGAAAAATTCAATTTTTTGTTTATGGGACGCATAAATGTCCATGGGACGCATGTCCTAAGATAGAGCCGAATCTTTTTGCTGACAGGTATAAAATATGCTTGTTTTCCAGAAAGATGAATGAAAAAAATTAAGCAGAACTTATTTTTACGGACATATAACCAGGTAAAAACCAAAATTTATAAATATTTTTTTAAATTTTTCACCCTAACTAGAGAGGGTTTAAAAAAATAATAGAGTAAATAAGCTATTACAGAAACTGATAAATTGCTATTTAAATTTGATTGGTTTGGTAAAAATTTAAAAATTTTTTAGCAAAATTTAAAAATCTAATACGTAAGCAATAAATTAGAAATTCTATCTCCCGCCTACTAATATTTTTAAATACTGCTAGGTAAATAATCATCCTTTCAATTAAAAAAATTTATTTAATAATTTTTGGTATTAATCTTTTTTAGAATGGAAAAGAAGAATTTCAAATAAACAAATAAAAGAAAATAAGTTTTGTATTTTCAAAATATAAATTCTTTAAATTAAAGCCAAATTTAGATTTTTTATTTATTTAATTTTTTTAAAATTTATACATCTGTATCCAAACTATAGCTGGCGAAATTTAAAAAAAAATTTTTTATTTCGAATCGATATTTTTTAAAATTTAATTTTATCTTCTTAGTCTTAAGTTTTGTACAATTTTGTTATATTCAATTTTTGATTTATTTATAATTTCTTGTAATTTTTCGTTAATTTTATATTCACGTTCAACAAAATTTTCATTATATATCCATTCTGATTCGTTGCCACAAAACCTTTCTTCATCAAAAAAATTTTGTTCTGATTTAAATGGATATTTCCAAGGATTAAATTCTGATTTTCTGTTGAATGTACTGAAAAGTTTTAATTAAATTTTAAATATTTAATTGAGATTAGTTTTTCTAAAATTAAGTTAATTTTAAGTATATAAAATCTTGGCCCTTTATTATTATTATAATGCAAAATTTTTGTTCTAGGTTGGATTAACTAATCCACTTTAGTGTAGGTAACAAATTAAGTAGAGTTATTTTCATTTATGTCGGTGATAAAAATAATTTTAGAAAGTACCCGAATCAATTTTTATGTCGAATTACCCATTGAGCTCGAACTTTTCACTTTGCCGGGCCCGGTATCCGGATTTTTCTCTTCCAAGTTGACCCGGGTCGGGGTTTCCAGGCTAAAACCTCTAAAACGACGATTTTACAAAATACCCGGCTTCCGGGCCCGGGTTCGAGCTCTATTGCCCATTATATGTATGATTGATAATAAAAAGCTTATCCTTAGTTCATTCATCATATTTCACAACATTCATTAAAATTATTAATTTTCTTTAAAAATTATTAATTTTCTTTTTTATATTTATTATTTAATTATTACGAGGCTTTCCATCCATGAAACATAAAATCTTTTGTTGAAAATTTTGTCCCAGTATGTCCGCCATCCCTTACCCATCCTGCAGCTTTCGGTAAAACTTTAACTTTTCCTTCATCGAATGTTCGATTTACCATTTGTTTTTCAGTAAAATGACGAACACAAACTGTGAATGTGTTCAGATCCCCAAAATTTCTTTAAAAATATTTTTAATTAATTATTCGAAATTAAAGTACTTAGATGTTTCCCACAGATGTTGACAATTATTTCTGTGTTCTTGTGAAGAAAATTTTTCCATAAAAAGTCCCTAAAAATTTAAAGGTATTTACCAGGGCTGGGCTTATTTCGCACTTTCGCGTTTCGCATCTTTCGCATTCTCGCATTTTTTGGCGCGAAAAGTTTCGCATTTCGCATTTCGCTTTTTATTTTTTCATTACGCCCAGCCCTGGTATTTACATATTTAAAAATTTATTTACATGTATAGCTCCATTGTCCGATCCATGAAAGCTTTTTGGTAATTTGTAAAAATAATTGGCCCAATCATTAAGAAAATTTCGGCCATAAATTGTGTTTCTGTAAATAGAGTAAGTCGAGTACCGAGTAATTGGGAAAAAACCGAGCTCGAGTAATCCGAGTTTGAAAAACCCGAGTTCGAGCTCGAGCTCAACTTTTTAGGCCGAGTTCGAGTTCGAGTAGTCGAGTAATCGAGTAATTTTTATAAAACAGTATTTTAAAATAATTTTACCAAAAACAACACTTTTACTAAAGACTATTCATTATCAGTGCCGTGTTTTGGGCATTTGTTGGCAGTAATGCGTTAGATCTTCATCCAAATCCCAGTTATTTTCGTTAATCCGTCTATATCCCTCTTAATCCGCAGAAATTCCAAGATATGCACACGATCCCTGTTGAATCCGGGCTCCGGGTTGAACAACAATGGATAATATTATTTCGGGGATTCGTGTAGATTAAGAGGATATCGAATGATAACAGAGGAATTAGATGGATATCAAGGGATTAAGCGGGATTTGGGCCGATTATAGTGAGATTTGGGTGTATTAGGAGCAAAATCTTGGAAATTCGGGAGATTAATTGGGATATCGTCGGATTAGGTATATTGTCGAAAGGTGCCATGAGATCCGTTGCTCTATCCCTCTCCTTTCGCGCCGTTGGCGAAAAAGGAGAGGGATAGAGAAAAAGGAGAGGGATAGAGAAAAGGAGAGGATAAGGAGAGGGATTTCAGCGCCGCAGGCGAAAATTTTGAGAATTTTGGAAGATCCTTAAGCTAAAAATCTTCCATTTTGCGCCGCAGATAGGAGCATAAAAATACTCGGTTTTAACCGAGTACGTCGAGTAGGAAGTTTCCGAGCTCGAGTAATCCGAGTATTATGATCCCGAGTTCCGAGTCGAGTAATTACGCAAAAAACCCGAGCGGTCGAGTCGAGTAACTCGAACTCGCTCGAACTCGACTTACTCTATCTGTAAATATTAGAATTAGGTAGTCGGTATTTTCTCGATCCAGCTCAGTAAGGAAAGATCAAGATCAGTTCGCGGCCTATGCTGAGCTGCCTACGCCCGAGGCATGCAGTGGATAGTTAGACACTGCAATCCTGATTGGGGAAACCCGTCTTAAGCTTACTAATTATCTGCTACTGTGTGCCTACTAAGGTTGGCGGATCCGGATATCAGGATCCGAAAAAAGGCCGGATATCCGGAAATTTTCGGTTCGGATATCGGATCCCGATATCCGAATATTTCCAACTGTCCGTCAACCTTAGCGCTGACTGATAAATAACCAATGATAATTTAATTGACGACATTATGGAGTCAGTAGGTTGTAAAATAGGAAAAAGTTGGAATTTGAGTTAAATATTTTAGGCAATCTAACAACCCTGATACATTAAATATTAACATACTTAACTAAATAACTGCCAGCCATTATTTCATTATTGAATATTCTATCAATAAAAATAATTTGTTCTCCATTAATATATTCAAATAAAGAATGATTTGGATTAACAACAGCCATATCCCCATCAATAAATAATATCCACTCAAATTCAGAATGTTGAGACATCCACTCGACAACTACACAATGGCGACGAAACATGAACTAATAACTAGAATTCTGTATATTTTTTATTAAAAAATTTTCCGTTAAAATTAGGCGGCCCGTATACCCTAAACAAAGGAAATTATCAAATTTTAACATTCATTAATTCTCTTCTAACATTCTTTATAAATTTTAGATGGAATAAAATCATCGTGAATGGCTTATTTATATTTTTTGTGTTCTTTCATAACAGCTTGGATTAAAAACTATATCCTCCAATCATATTTAAAATTATTTTTTTAACTTTAAAACTGGGAACTTGAAAGAAAATCTAATAAATCCTCACGTCATTTTGTCTGCATTTGTTTTCATCTAAAGAATTATTTACATCATTTTTGGGTATATTAGGTGAAATTAAAACAAAATGAGAACATTCTTGAGAGCGTTGAGCATAACAACGAACTGTACTTAATGCCAAACCAAATTCATTTAAAAGATCAGATTTATCGAATACAGTTATAATTGCAATTTTGGGTTTGTTTATCATTTTATTGTTGTTAACAGAGAAATGACTGAAATTTAGTTTAAAATAATTCTTAAAAAGGGATAGAATCCCATATATGAAACTAATCACCAAAGCATAAAAACCAAGACCTAAGTTAACTTAAAACGTAAAAACTCTAAAAAATCTGATCCTTATTTCACTCATTACAACTTCTCATTTAATTTATTTTTTATGAGAGAAATTTTTTAAAGTTTAGGTTTTATTTTTTTTCATATGCGGATCGGGTGATTTACATATTTTAATGAACACATTTTTATCAAATAATTAAATTTAATTTAAAAATTTTAAATTACTCTAAAGATGTAGAATATATTGTTGATGAAATAAATTGATTAGAATTAAAATTAATAAAATAAAAAAATAAAGCTAATATAAAAATAATTAATATTAAACTTAATGAATTTCTATTAAAGTTGTTAATTCGCATTAAAAAACATGTATTTCTATAAAATAAAATTTTCTTACAAATTTGAATTCAAAAATTTTATTAAAAAATAAATTTGTTGAGTAAATGATGAAAATTTTTTTATTTTAAGTTTCTAGAAATATGTGTGTATGCAGTAGCATATTCACGAGAGTTCGTGTATATTTTAAAAATAAATATTATAAATCGGTGAATAATAATAGTTTTATTTTTGTCAGTTATCTCTCCATATACACATCTTTCTTTCACAATTTTTTTCGAAGAATTTTGAGGAAAATAAAAGAAATTGGCCACCAAAATAATGTTTAGTTTTCCTTATTGTTTTATATAAATTTTGTGTATGAACATTAAATGTACTCTGTATACCGCTGCCCATTTTCCATTTAAAAAAGGATAAAAAGATGGAGAATATTATTAATTATCCTTACTATGAACCTAATAGCTTTCATTTTTTATTCAATAAATTTTTTAGTAAAAACTCATACCGTATAACCTCTATTAATTGCCCTCCCTCTAATAATTACTCCCTCAACCAAAAGGTCGAAACAATAATTACCCAGGGTAGTTATTAAAGGATATACGGTAACTTTATTTATTTTACTCTTATTCAAAATATAAAGAAAAATTAGAAATTCAACCAAAAATCGGATTATAGTTATATTTAAATTTAAAAATTACTAGAAAGATTAACAATAAATCTCTCTCAATAAAATTTTTATTAAAAAAATGATAATAAATTGGCAACATTTTAATCTAAAAAATGAATCAATATATGTATTTATTGTTTTATGAGAGAGAGTAAAACAAATATTGTAAAAATAGATAATTAATATTTAATTAGTAATGAGGTAAAAATATTATTTTTATCTTTGCTAAAATTATGAAATTTTAATTTAACTGTTAAAAAAAGATAAATATCTAGTAAAAGAATACTGAGTAATAGAGATCGAGTTGGGTCTTGGCCAAGGCCAAGGTTTTTCCTGTACCCAGAGTCCAGGCCCAGGCATTTTTTGACCTTCCTGAGGTTTTCCTGAGCCTGGGGTTTTCCTGGACTACAGAACAAGGATCTGGACAAGGTCAATAAATCAAACCCATAGTCCAGGAACAGGCCCAGGCTTTAAAAAAATCTCAGTCTCTACAGGGTAATGCAGGGTTAAATTAAATTATAAACTTGTTTTTTGGAAAAATATGAAGAAAGAAATAATTTTTGGAAATATTTCAGTTTTTAAATAAAAATTTACTAAATCCTTCCATTTTTCTAAAATTTCTGGAAAATTAATACAAAATATTTAATTAATTAGAAAAAATATTTTTTTAAGTGCATTTAATTTTTTATTTTAACAAAAATATTATTACGATCTATTGAATTTTTTCAGCCAAAATACACAAAAATTTGAACAAACAAAAAAATAAATACAGACAATTTTAATAAATTAAAAAGAATAGTAAAAAATAATTATTTTAAAAAATAAAAATTATATTAGGGTTGCCAAGGTGAATTTGTTTTAAGAAATTTTTTTTAATTTTATTGTTTATTCTGTAAAAGTTCAAAATTAATTTAAAGACACAATGAAACGACCTCAAAAAAGTTTGGATAGGAGTCGGTTGAGTCTTGTCTATAACCCTTTAGAGTATGGGAAAATCATAAACGCGCCGTCGCCGGTCTAGGACGGCGCGCTGTGGATTATTAACTTACAAATTAGTGGGACGAATCCAAAGTTTTTATTCAAGGGGACGAATCCATGCGCAGCCCCTGCCTCGTAACGGGAATTTTCCATTAGATTTAGTTTGCGTTGTTCCGTGATATTAATCTTGTAATTCCTTGTCTACATTTATTCGCTTTAGCAATTCTAATTTTTCTAGATAAACAATGGATTCAGATCTATATGACGAATTTGGAAATTATATTGGTCCTGAATTAGATAGTGATGATGAAGAAGAAATGCAGCCAGTTGGAAATGAAGAAGAACAAAATGACGAGTCTATGGAAAGAGTATTTTTATTTATTTTTAAAGATTAATTTTAAAAAATAAATTTAAGGATGAGGAAGAAGACGAGTCAGAAACACCAATTGTCCCGGCTAACCAAATTGTTTTACATGAAGACAAAAAGTATTATGCAAGTGCTATGGAAGTGTATGGGGAGGGTGTGGAGGCTCTAGTACATGAAGAAGATGCGCAACCTTTGACTGAACCTATCGTTAAGCCTGTGAAGCTTCGACGTTTTCAAGTAAATTTTCTCTTTTGTTAATTTTGGGTTTGAGAACTTAAAATATTTGGCCAGTCAGTATTTCCTACTGATCTCTTTTTTTAATTTTTCGTATTTGGGATAGCTATGAGTATTTTGATGTATCCACTAATTCAGGAAAAATTTTGGGGGGCTGGGAGGAATATTTTTAGAGCTGTTTTTTGGCATCTGAAAAACTGAGGGGGCCGTATTCGAAAAAATTTACTTATTTTTCCGCCAAATAAGCAAAAATAAAATTGTTTACTATTTTTAGGCTCAAGAAAATTTGCTTCCTGAAACTGTTTACAAAAAAGATTTTCTCGTTGATTTAACAAGCAAACCAGAACTTATTCGTAATTTGGCAATTGCTGGACATATTCACCACGGAAAGACTTCCTTTATTGATTGCTTGGTTGAACAAACACATCCAGATTTATTTCGTTATGAGGACAGAGACCTTCGCTATTCTGACAGGCTTTTTATTGAACAACAACGGGGATGTTCTATTAAAACACAGCCAGTTACTTTAGGTTATATTTTGATTTAAATTTTAATTAGGAAGTTGAGTGACTCTTTTTTACTTAATGATTAAGCGTTTGTAACTCAAACCAAACCCGTAACCAGGATTTCTTTTCGGGGGGAGTGTGTAAATTTTTTTACGCCGAATTTGAGTTTCTTTCTCGAAAATTTTGAGAATTTTAAAAGGTTGTAGGCCAAAAAATTCACTTTTTTGCATAATCCCCTCCTTAAATTTTTCCATTTCTCCAATTTCAGGGGGAGGTGGAACAGGCCCGTAGCCAGGGGGGGGTAGGGGGGGAATTCCCCCCCCCCCCCCCCCCCGAAATGGGGAAAAGGGAAAAATTTGGGGAAGGGCTGGGGCAAAAAAAGTGAATTTTTTTGGCCTACGGCCTCTGAAATTTAAAAAATTTTCGCCTGCGGCGCTAAAAAAGGAAGAAACCTGGCTTTTTGAGGTCCAAAATTCAAAAAATTTTCGCCTGCGGCGCTGAAAATCAAATTTTCGGCGCCTGCGGCGCCGAAAAAGTGAATTTTTTGGCCTACGGCCTTCTAAAATTCTCAAAATTTTCGCCTGCGACGCTGAAAATAAAAATTTTTCCCCCCTTGACCCCCCCCCCCCCCGAAAAAAATCCTGGCTACGGGCCTGAGGTGGAATTACCCCGTCCCTGGTTACGGGCCCGGCTGTTTTTACGTGTGTACTTATCTTTTAGGTTTCCAAATTTTTCCCATATCTTCCGTAAAGGATTATGGCATCTTATGTTTTTTGGATTGTTTGCCACTTTATTCATGTTTTAAAAAATTATTTCAGTAATGCCCTCATCTCGCAACAAATCTTATTTGTTAAATATTTTTGATACTCCTGGACATGTTAATTTCTCTGACGAATGTACAGCAGCTTTCCGTCTATCTGACGGTGTTGTTATAATGGTTGATGTTCATGAAGGAATGATGTTAAATACTGAAAGATTACTTCGACATGCAGTTCAGGAACGTCTTCCAATTACTATTTGTTTAAATAAAATTGACAGACTTATTCTTGAATTAAAACTGCCGCCAGCTGATGCTTATGCTAAATTGAAATTTACTCTGGATCAAATTAACAATTTCGTTCAGTTAGTTTTTCTGATTTTCTAAGATTTTTAATGGCTATACATTTTGCGGGTTATTTCTCATTTTATTCTTTTTGTTTAGGGGAAATCTTTATAACGGCTGTTATATTTTCTTGTTTTTTGGGAATGAACACTTTAAAAGATGCATCAAGAAAATTTCTCTCTTGTGAAGCATATAGCTATTAGGCGGCGTGGTGTGATGACCAACACATCAGTCCGGTCTACTGAAGATACTGATTCGCTCCCAGCCGCCGAATAACCTTTTGCACTAGCTAAAGGAGAGAAATAGCTATAGCCCAGTTGCTTTACTCTATTTTCAGTTATTAATTTTTTAATCCTTATATTTTTAGGACATTTGGAGAAGAAGATATTCCTTTATTTTCTCCATTAATGGGAAATGTTATTTTTGCAAGTGGTCGCTATTCTATTTGTTTTTCTCTTCAAAGTTTTGCAAATATTTATTCTTCAAAATATCGAGAACTTGATTCTATTGGATTTGCTAAACGTTTGTGGGGCGATATGTTTTATGATCCAGCAACTCGAAAATTTACGCGAAAACAGCAATTTAGTTCTCAAACACAGGCGCCTAGAACTTTTGTTCATTTTATTTTGGAACCAATGTATAAACTTTTCTCACAGGTTTTTTAGTATTTTAATATTTATAGGGTGTGCCTAAATTTTTGCGTTTCTATGCTCCCAAAATTTTTTCGTTTCCCATATTTCGGGGAGTGGGGGGACTTTAGCCCCAGAAACCCCCTGGCTACGTCCTTGCTGCATCCTTTAATTTTTAAGACCCGTAATATTTCTTTTTCTCACTCGTTTTTACAATCTGTATATTTTAATTTTCTAGAAATCATTTTGATAATTTTAAGGTTGTTGGTGATGTTGACACTTGTCTACCAAAATTGCAGGAACATTTAGGCATTAAACTTACTAGAGAAGAACAGAAAATGAATGTACGTCCATTAATTACATTAATTTGTCAACGCTTTTTTGGAACTTTTACAGGTTTATTTCTTAAATGTTTTTAAATTAATTTTATTTTTTAAAGCTTTTGTCGATCTTGTTGTGCAAAATTTCAAGTCACCAGTTGAGAATGGCCCTATAAAAGTACAACAGTGTTATACTGGTGAAATAACACGTCCATTACCTATGGCTGTTGCTAAATGTGATGCTAGTGTTGGTTTTTTTTATTTTATCACAACTTTTAAGTATTTTTATCTCTTAACCCGGAATCTGGAATTTTTAAAATTTAGTCAGTTTTATTTTCTAAAAATGTTGGATCTTAATAACGGGGAATTTATTTTCCGGCATTTCATTTTTTATTATTTTTCCTGTCGAATTAAAGTGGAACTAACATCATTTTTATTCGATTTAATTACAAAAATATTGAAATTTATTTACCTTCGATTCGAAGTAATTACCGTATTATCTCTAATACAAGCCCTGGGCGTCTATTTTTCAATACCCCTCATTGACTGGGCTTCTAATAGGGCATGGGCTTCTATTAGGGCATGGGCTTTTATTTTTCAATATCGAAATTTTATAGAAGATAAAAAATAAAGGCAACAAAAATTAACTGCTTGGCAGGAAGAAAACAGAAATGAATATAAAAATTATATATCAAAATCAATATAAATATCACTAAAACTCTTTTTCCTCAACATAGTAATGAGTAAATCCCTTCTAATCCCGCAAATCACTATTAATGAACTCCTGAATGATCAGATTAAGCTACATATCCATCTTTATTAAATCCATCTTAATTATAAATATCCGTTTAATTCCAAAATATTCCTCGATATTTTTACACCTTATCTTTAACAATATCCCACTTTAATCTTCCGATATGCTCTTTCTTCTAGTATACTTAATCTCCTTCTTAAGTGCCTTAATTTATTAATCCCTTCCATATCCTCAATGGAAAAATATGGAAGGATTATTGATACCTCTATCTATCGAGAAATCTCTCGATATTGAAGAACCGAGGTATGTGCACGGAAGTAGTTGAATCCTTGTCAACCAAATCTCTCAATACCAAATCTCTCAATATTTAATCTCTGAATATTCCTATTAATTTGTTGATAGCCAACGATACCACTGAATCATACAATAGTCTCTATACCACAATTCCTTAGATACCTTTTTAAACCCGCATTTATCTTTCTCTAAATTCTCTTAATTCACCTTAAATTCTACTTAACTCATCCGAATCTTCCGATATTCCATTCAAATCCTTTTATACTCATTTTTGGAGACTGGAATTTTGTTATCCTTTAGTCGACTATGACACGAGTAATAGAAAAATAGATAGTCAAAAATCAGATGGGCTTCTATTAGGGCATGGGCTTCTATTGGGGCATGGGCCTTTATTTTTCAATACCCCCTATGGAGTGGGCTTCTAATAGGGCATGGGCTTCTATTGGAGATGGGCTTCTATTAGAGACAATACGGTATTTTCTTTTTAAGGGTCCTCTTTTCATTCACACAACGAAAAATTATCCAACACAAGATGCAACTGCTTTTCATGTTCTTGGCCGTATTTTCAGTGGAATGAGTAATTTAATAATTAAATTATTTTTAAATCTTACTATTTAGTTCACATTGGTGATGAAGTCAAAATTCTTGGAGAAAATTACAGCATTCAAGATGAGGAAGACTGTCGAGTTATGACTGTTGGACGTCTGTGGATCCCTGTTGCTAGGTTTTTATTTTAACTATCCTTAATTAAAGTATCAAAAAATTATTCTTTCTATAGTAAAGCCTAGGGACCAACAAATAAGTAATAGCCCAATTCCAATAAATAATTTCCAACCAATTAAATAATTTTATTTTCCAATTAATCAAATTAAATCCAATAATTAAAAGCAAGCCACCAATAATAAAGCCAATAAGTGAGAGCCAACAGTGAACCAAGAGAGGGGAAAAAAGGAGTGTGAAATTAGATTAAACAAAATTGCTGGTGCTAAAAAAATTGAATATTGAAAAATAACTTATAAAGAAAAAGTTGTTTACTATTAAAGAAAAAAGAGGAGAACTAATTTAAATAAGTTAAACAGATAAAAATTTTTAAACATGAGTAAAATTCTTAAATAGAAAAAATTCCTAGACAGCAGGTGCGGTTAAAAAAGATAATTTTAGATTAAGCAAATAACAGAATGGAATTTAAATTTAGAAAAAAATTAACTTAACAAAATTAAATCTAACTAATGGTCGCGTTTAGCGACACTTTCTCCTAATTATATTCTTTTTAGTTAAAAATTCTTTTAACAATTATTTAGATATGATATTGAAGTCGGCAGTATTGGTGCTGGTTGCCTTGTTTTAATGGAAGGGATTGACCAGCCAATAACTAAAACATGCACAATTGTTGAAAAAGATTATGATCAAGATGAGGTTTTTATCACAATTTTTGAAGGTTTCGAATTTATTAATTTGTATTTTAGCTCTACATCTTTCGCCCACTCAAATTTAATACGTGCTCTGTAGTGAAATTGTCAATTGAACCAATTAATCCATCAGAATTGCCAAAAATGCTTGATTCTCTTCGTAAAGTCAATAAGTCCTATCCGTTGTTGACTACGAGGGTTGAAGAAAGTGGTGAACATGTTATGTTAGGTTATTGAAATTTTTATTTTTAATTTGTTTGAGGATTTGTATTTGTTTCTGACATGTGTGGGGTTTTACAAAAATTTGGCTTGGTTTCTGTTAATGACTTGTCCTCGGGTTCAGCCAGAAGCTATAGGTACTCCATAATTTGTTTTGAATTATTCAAAATCTAATTTATAAATTTTTGACGAATTCAAAAAAAATCCCTAGAATAAGGTTTTTATCGATAGTATGTAGCTGCCCCATAATTATTTCAATTATTTAGGTACTGGAGAGCTCTTCATGGATTGTGTTATGCACGATATACGTAAAGTATTCTCTGAAATTGATATTAAAGTCGCTGATCCAGTTGTATCATTTTGTGAAACTGTTGTTGAAACATCTTCACTTAAATGTTTTGCACAAACTCCTAACCAAAAGTAATTTTATTTTTTAATTTAAATTATTTAAAATATATAGGAATAAAATTACAATGATTGCTGAACCATTGGAAAAGGGATTGGCTGAAGATATTGAAAATGAGGTTGTCAAAATTACATGGAACAGGTTTTCTTTTTGAAATTCCCATTTACCTCTTAAAATTTTTAAATTTTAGAAAACAACTCGGAGACTTTTTCCAAACAAAGTATGAATGGGATTTGCTTGCATCCCGTTCTATTTGGGCATTTGGACCAGAAACGAATGGACCGAACATTCTTTTGGACGACACTTTACCTTCCGAAGTTGATAAAGAATTACTCAAAACTGTGCGCGAATCGATTATTCAAGGATTTCAATGGGCAGCGAGAGAAGGACCTTTATGTGAAGAACGTGAGTTCCTTAACTTTAATGTTAAAAACTGAATTTTAAAAATTTAGCTATTCGAAATGTCAAATTCAAAATGTTGGATGCTCATATTGCTAAAGAACCGCTATATAGAGGTGGTGGACAAATTATTCCAACATCACGAAGATGTGCTTATTCTGCGTTTTTAGTCAGTAAAAATTTATTTTTAATTGAAATATGTAATTAAAAATTGTCTTTTATTTAATTTATTATAGAATTGTCCGTCTCACTAGATCCTCGGTTAACCGAACCGAAAATTTTTGTTTTTCGGGACGGTTTGAAACAGACAACCTTATTTCATCTACTATACTCTGATGCAAGGGCGACCCAGGGAGTTGATTTCAGGGGGAGGTGATGCACCCTTGATATATTCGGTATCCGCAGTCTCTAACACACCTTCATAATCCACTTAAAGTTAATAAATTCGATGGAATTCTTTTTTGACATCCTCTCCAATAAAAAATTTATTCTTTTTCTATTTAAAAGATGGCAACACCTCGTTTAATGGAGCCTTATTATTTTGTTGAAGTAATTGCCCCAGCTGATTGCGTTACTGCTATTTATACAGTTCTTTCAAAAAGAAGAGGACACGTAACTACAGATGCCCCAATTCCTGGTTCTCCTCTTTACACAATTAAAGCATTTATTCCTGGTAATTCTTTATCTGAAATAATTAAAAAAATTTTATTTTAATTTAAGTTATCGATTCTTTTGGGTTTGAAACTGATTTACGTACACATACACAAGGACAAGCTTTTTGTTTAAGCGTTTTCAGTCATTGGCAGGTGAATAGAAAAATATTTATATTTTGACTTTTTTAAACGAAAAACTTAAAAATGCGATAATTCGCATCAAAATACGTTTTATACTACTTTAATTTTGTTAAGTGATTCACTTTTCAAATTTCTTTTATTCCTCTAAACAACCGATTCCTTTTAAGTTTCAACAAATTCTTCGGTTAAAAAGGGCCGAAAGTCTTAGATTTTTTCGAGTTCGAAATTGAAAACCTAAGTAAAGACGAACCATTCTTGAATATCGTATTTCCGAACATCACCTTGAATTAGAACCCCACCCTGAAATAAAGCCACATCTTAGAGGATAGTCGAAAAGTAGAGCCCTATGGGGTTCTATTTTCGGAAATACGGTAATTAATAAAACCATTATTTAATTAAAGACGCTTTTTATAATTAAAATTTTTAAAGATCGTGCCAGGCGATCCACTTGATAAGAGTATTATTATCCGTCCATTGGAACTTCAACCGGCACCTCATTTGGCACGCGAATTTATGATTAAAACAAGACGAAGAAAAGGATTGTCTGAAGATGTTTCTGTCAATAAATTCTTCGATGATCCTATGTTGGTGGAATTGGCTAAACAACAGGATCTTTTTAGCGGTTTTGGAGTTTAATTTAGTAGAGCGATCTCTCTTTTTTGTTATTTTCTTAATTATTTGGAATTTTCGTAAATAAATTTTTGTTTTTTTGTAGATAGAAATTGAAAGAATTTAAGGCTATAAAACAGTATTTTGGGTATTCTGATCGGATTTTTGTTAATAGCAGATTAAATTATAGATAATTTGGGGGCTTTCTTTGAGCTTATTTAATTATCAAAAATTTCATTAGAATTTTCTACTGCTCGTTAAAGTTCATACATAGTTTTGTGAAATTATTTTGGACTCATAAGTCTTCTTGGCATCATTAAAAGTCATCCGAATTTTCTTGGTCTCAATAATAGCCACGTTATATTACTTAGTTGAACTTATTTTTTATTTAGGTAGTCTTAAAATATTTTTTTTATTTGTTTACAGTAATTTATGTGTTTACAGTAATATTTTAAATAATTTTTGACAAAATTTATTAATTACAACAAAAATAATGAAAAATTTTTTAATATTAAAAAAACTATAAGTAATTTTATGCCACATGAAAATAAATTTATTACTTTTTTCCTTTTGTTTTTGTTTAAATTAAATTTTTTAATATATCCTTCTTAACAATAATAAAATTCTTGTATTATCCAAAAAATTTTTTTAGTTAAAACAAAAATTAATTAATTTTTTGTTTTTACGTATTTACATGCTTTTTGATGTTTTTATTAGTAATTTTGTATATTTAATATATTATTTTTATTATTTTCATTCAAAATTTATATAAAATGGATTGGGAGTAGGGTCGTCGGTTCTGGACCGAACCGAATAACCGAGGATTTTTTGGTTCGGTTCCGGATATTCGAAGATTTTCCAGGAACCGGCAACCCTAATTAGGAGATAACAGAAAAGTACATACCAAAAATATTTTTGTACATATATTTAATTGAAAAATTTAAAATTATTTTTCTAAAATTAATTTTTTCACACAATTAAAGTAAAAATACTTTTAAAAATTTAATTAAAAATATTTTTTACCCAAAAAGGTATATAAAAAACTCAAAGATTGTTTTACTTTCATTTTATCTTCTCGTGTTACTTTTGTAAACATTTGAAATGCGAAAATAAAAAAAATAATTAAAAGGTAAAATTTTAACTAGAATTTATTTTAAATCCATTTTTAAGGAAATAAAATATGTAAAAAGGAAGAGGAAAATAGATTTTTAAATATAATATTTTTAACTAAATAAATAAGGAAATAGGTAGATTAGTTCCTTTAAAAAAATAAATTGTAATTTTTGTTTATCATTCAAAGGACCCAGATTTTTAGAATTTTCAATATTTTCCTTAACTTCCTTTGCTCTTTAATATATATTTTTTGTTCCTGGTTTTCCTTTCTGAGCATTTTATTTTTTTAAAATCCGGACCCTAGTCATTACTAATAATTTTAATATAAAATTTAAATATTAATTTAAATATTACAAAATATTCTAATTTTAATTTTATCATTTTATAACTCTCTAAAAACTTAATATTTAAAAGATTTCTATAAAAACTTTTTCGAATTGTCCTTCAGACCAATTCAGATAAATTTTTATTAGAAAATTAATTTTTAAAAATAAATAAAATAACTTTTAAAATTATTTTATTATAATTAAAAATTAATTCGTTAATTATAATTTAGACTTTAACATTTAAAATTTATCTTTAAAATTCCTCTTTGTCTATATTTTTGCATGATTCTATTTTTTATACTTTTTTATGTACTTACATAGCATTCTAAAGAATAAATAATTCATAAAATTTTTCAACCTTTTTTTAAATTTTGTCTATAAATCCTTAAATAAGGTCACTAAAATTATTGAATAAATAAATAGGTAAATTTTTTAATCTTTTACAAGGCCTCAATTAGAAGGTTATTATTCTTATTAGACTTTATGAAATAAAATATTTATTTATCAAATACAAATGTAGTCTCTTAAAAGAAACTGACGCGTGTAGAAAAGAACTATTAAATCCCTCTCCCCCACGCACTATTAGAGGATTTTATTTATTTTTAATCTTATAAGAGGCACATCCTTTTAATTAATTAAATTTCATTTACTAAAACTAAATTACTTTTAAATTATTTTTAAAATTTTTTCATTTATTTCGTCATCAAAAACTCAACCAACAACAACCAAATAGCGTGTATGAATTAAAAATATTTCCTTTCATTTTATATCAGACGCGAAAAAAAATAAAAATTTGGCTAAAAAATAAATTATTAATTAATAAAATATTAGAAAATTTCCTTCCTTTTCGGTTTAAAAATTTATTTATATTTTCATACAAATTTTTTAACATTTTTTGGACTAAACAAAATTTAAACTCATATTTTAAAAGAAATTTACTTTTTAAAGAAAAACAAAATATAATCAGTGCTTAGGAGCTCGTATTTACCAAAAGTCTTTCTTGCATCTATCTCAAGGTACGAGTAGTGAAAAATAGAGCATGCAGGAGTAGGAAAAAAATCGAAATCTCTAAAGATTTTTACTTCAAAATCTAAAAAAAATTAATTCTCATTAAAATTTTTTAATTTTTAAGACAAATTAATTTTCATTTAAAATTAAAAAAAATTTTTTTTTTAATTTTAGATTTCTAAAAAAAATAAATGTTAAATGCATTTATTTAGATTAAATCAAACAATTAATTTAAAATGTCACCAACAACAAAATTTTGAAAGAATGTTTAATTATAATTTAAGATTTTTAATTGTTGGAATGTTTGGCTCACTCATATCTATTGTATTTTAATTTTAACTAATTATTAAATTAATAAATTCTAAATAGTTCAGCAAAAAATAATTATATTTATATAAGCAACTGAATCTCTCCAAAAACTAAAAAGCTATATTGAAAATCTCCAAATTAAGGAAGGCTTAGTCACTTCATAATTCATTACAGTCGAATCTTGATAAGACGGCACCCCGAGATGCCTTCGATATCTTTTATGGAAATAGATGTGCTTCGAATGTCACGTCGTGCTATCAAGATTCGACTGTGGTATTTTTAATTTTTTGCTTTATCACGAAAAAATTGTCGAAGCTTTCAAAATCGACAGAATTTTTAAATTAAATTTATTTTTTAAATTTAAAGATTTCTATTATCCAAAACCTTCTACTTTTTTACGTTTTTGCTACTTCAAGAAAACTTAGACGACAAAATTATGTAAATCCAGTATTGCTTTCCTTCTTCGATATTATTGTTTCTTTAATTTATTTGCTCATCTCTCCCGTTCACTTTTTAGCTTTTCTTTTAAATTTTAGAATATTTATTAATTTTTGGACAAAAAGTATTAAAATACTTTTTTGTTTTGAGGTAAATTTTTAAACAAAATTAAATGAATTAAGTGTTAATTCTTGTAATGGAACATAAAGGTTCATGGAAAAAATAGGATTAAAATTTATACTAACAAAAACTATACACAGTCAAATCTCCCTATAATAACACCTTTTGGGATGCAATTTTTGAGAAAGTCGTGAGGGAGTGGAGTCGTCCACTACATTAAGGATGGCGGGTCCGGATCCGAAAATGGCCGGATATCCTAGATTTTCGGTCCGGATATTGGATTCGGATCCGTATATCCGAAGATTTCCAACTATCCGCCAACCATACTGTGCATATAAATTTATTTTTAGAATATTCATTATCCACATTCATTCTCGATTGAAGCTATTAAGAACAAAAAATAATAATTACGTTTATAGTTTAACTAAAAATGAGAGTTTTTAAGGCGAATTTAAACTCTAATTTAATACATATTAACGTTAGTTAACTTATAAAAATTAATAAAAAAAAACTTTTTTAAACAAAATTAATTTAAGCATTTTGCCCTAACTGTTTGCAATTTTCTTCTTGTAATAGCAAGTATTGAGCGTTATTTGGCTAATAGTCCATTCAATGCACAAGTATTTTAAATAAATATTTTTTTCAAAAAAATCGGGTTTTTCAGAAATGTTTACTTGTTTTTCTTGTTAAAAGAAAACCTTTTGTTATTTTTACAATTCTTCTTTTTGCTTTTTTATTGAAAGCTACTTTATATTTTGAAATTAATATTTTTAAATTACCTAATTGTTCAAATATTATAGAGAGGTAGGTAATTTTTTGAATAAAGCTGAACTAAGAAATTGAAAAAAAATAAAAAATTACATGTTTATCAATTTTTCTGTTTTTCGAATTCCCCAGAAATTAAAAAAATTATTTTTAGTTCTATTTTGGTTTTGAATTTTAATAATAATAAAATAATTAAATACCAATCTTTGCGATTTTGGACAAGAAATATTCTTTCTGTAATTTTACCATTTATTGTACTTGCTTATTGTAATTTATGTATTGTTCAAGTATTGAGACGCCGTCGAAGAAAGAAGACAATGGGTAAGGGGAATAAGAGCCTTATATGAGCCTTTTTATTCTCAGCCTTATATGAGCCTTTTTGTTTTGAAAAAAAATTATTTTTTAAATTTTTAACAGATTATTCTACTTCAATTAACAGTCTAAATGACAATCAACAAAATTTAATACCCTCTTTTAATAATAATAAAAAAATTATTAATATAGACAGTCAATCACCTGCACTTTGTAAAAATAAATTTATTGGATGTTCACGTTCTACTAAACAAAGAATTACTTTATTTAAATGGTAATTTTGAGAAAATATTGGGTGGGAATAAATTAATAGACTTGAAATTTAATTTTTAAAAGCAATGGGGAATAATGGAAGTCTTAAGAAAATTTAATAAATTTATTTTAATTTTTATAACTTTAAATATATTTAAAGTGCTTATGCCCCTCTTATTTTGGATTTGAGAAATAAACAAAATAAAAAGTTAGAAGAACGTTTACCATCAGAAAATAGTAATAATGAAACAAATAAGAATTCTCCATTACCTGTTGATAATGGAAAAATTGGTGTTAGAATTGCTACAAGAACTCTTGTAATGGTTAGCAATATATTTTTTTAATTAGATAAATTATTTACTTTTAATCATTTATTAGGTTGTTGGTTGTTATTTAATTTCAAATTCTCTAAGTACAGCATTAAATATTTGGGAATATTTTGATTTGAAATTATTACGTCAAAATAATTTTCATATTTATTTGATGATAACTGATATTGCTGCTTTGGTAAGTAAAAAAAGAGAATAGAAAATTAATATTTTAATTAATCCTTCCTATTGAAATTAAGTACCTAAATTATACTTTGTATTTTCTAAATTATTTAAAATTTTGAGAAAAAAATTTCAAAAATTTAAAAGTTAACAATTTGTGGTTGCGCCCTTCGTTTACCAATTTATGTTTCAAATGATAAAAGAATTAGAAAAGCAATATGTCGAGTATTTATTCGTTTACGTTTTGGGTTTTGTAAAAATTCAAAGCCAAAATCTGAGGAAATTTTGAGGCTTGAAGGAATTGAAAGATTTTTGGAAAAATATTCAATTGCTATTGTTTCTAATAGTTTAAGGAGTAATTTAACTGGAAATTTTGAAAATAAAGGTAAAAATATTAGAAAATTTGGAAAATAATAAAATAAATAAATAAAGTTTGTTTTCACTTAATGATTTAACCTCGACACAAAAAATTTTTTATAGAAGTAAAATAGGTAATTAGGTAAATCAAAGAAGTATTTATGTAACTAATCTTAAAATCACGTTAATACGTCGCTTTCTGGATATAATGGGTCGGTTTATGAATAAGAGCGGGAAGACATATCCCATCCCACATATCTCACCCCATCGAATTCCAAATCATTCTACATTAATGCCTTAATATGCCCTAGAGATCGGCCTGAGTCTGGTGGACCAAGGCCTGGGTTTTTCCTGTACCCAGAGTCCAGGCCCAGGCATTTTTTGACCTTCCTGAGGTTCTCCTGGGCCTGGGTTTTTCCTGGACTACAGGCCCATGATCCGGCCCACGTCATTTAATCAAACCCGGAACATTTCCGATCTCTAATATTCCCTTACAATAAAATCTCTTTTCTTAAATAAGACTTGTTATTTTTTGAATAATAAAAAATAAAAAGTTTTTTACAGGAATTAACCAATTAGCAATGTTATTACAAAATAGACGAAGATTTCTTGTGCAAATGACAATTAATTTAGGGCAAAATAGTAGAAATTTTGATTTAAGTGCTGTTAGGGAAATTGAAACGACGGAAGAGGAAAACAAAAAAGAAAATGATGAAGAAATTAAATTATAAATTATTTAATAAATAGTTTATGTTAATTAATTTTATAAATTATTGTAAATTGTGGTTGTAAATTACCCATACTTTTTAAAGAATGTTGGGTTTTTATTAGTCAAGCGTGTCAGGATTGCGCCGACAGAAAACCTAATTCCCGATTTTCGGGAATCGTGAATCGGGTCGGTGCGATCCCTGAAGCATAAATATACAGACATGGTCATGGATACGGATATGGATACAGATAATACCAAAATGCCTGCGGATATCCGCCGTAAAAACCAAAATCCGTATCCGTGTCCTAGTCTGAAATATACTCTTTCATTACGGTCATTTAGTCACACAAAAGAGTTTGGAACTGAAACGGCCTTTAACATCCCTTTTCAATTCCATTGTTGATCGTTTTCAAAAGATATGGAGGAATGTTTAAATTTAATTTTAAAGTATTTCCACGATTTTAATTTTACTTTTAAAATCCATTATCTAATTTAGAATATGTCAAATTATAAAAATTATTCAAAAACAACTTTAATTAATTATAACAATAAAAACAATTATTCTTTTTGCAATTATAATGATTATTTAAATAAGGCTTGGGGATTAAAAGCAATTAGTCCAGTTATTAATCAAGGGTATAATCTTCAAAATGAAAAGGAAAAAGGCAAGTTTCCTTAATAAATTTGAATACTAATCTCTTCTTGGAAGGCAGACATATCGGGGTATTTCAATGTACGAATAGCTACTCAACCGGGTTTACGACCTAAGGCCACTGGGTCTTGGATAGTAGAGATGTCAAGGGTTGAGGAAAAAGTCAAGTTAGGGTTTAAAAATTTTCGTCTATCGGGTTGCGTGTCGAAAAAGTTCGAGTTTTGGGTATCGGGTCGACAAGCGGCATCTATGTTGGGTAGTTATTCTATTTTTGTCAATCCCGACGTATCTCCATACCTTCTTTTTTTAACAATTAAATCCACCCAAGTCTAATTTATTTTTTAAATCTCAGAACCTCTTACAAATCCAAAGAAAATCAAAAATATTTATATTGATCGAAATAAACATGAATGGCATTTTCTACAATTTGTTGGTTTTAAATCAAGTATATACAAACCTTTAATTAAAAGAAAATATGGAATGGTACAGGATGGTAAAAGTTTAGAAAATATTAATTTTAGGTAAAATTTAATTTTTAATTTATTGGTAAAAAGAGGGGGGTTTGGTACATCTAAGAAAGAACAAGTGAACTTTCGGTACTTTTGTGGTTCCGGACACACCTCAGAGCCCCTCGTTCACCGCTCCGCAGTTCGGATTTCCCTCATTTCCAGTTCCTCGCAAACCCAGTCCCCGTAATATTAAAGGAAACTTTGATACACAAACCAGAGGAGACGTCAAGGGCGTAGCTAGGGGGTCGATTTCAGGGGGATGACCCCCTCCCCCGTTCAAATATGGGAAGAGCACCTTTTGCTCATTTTTCTAGGACCAATCTCATCTTCATTTATCTAACATATATTTAGATGTACTCAATCAAGAAAACTTTCTTGTAGAGTTCGTGGAAAACTTGTAAAATCTGATGGAAATTTATTTACTCGTTGTGAACATAATCACCCAATTGATGATTTATTAGAAGAAAATCAAGATAATTCTATTGATGATGTTGAGGAAGGTGGAAATTCGGAAAATGTGAGGAATTAATTTTTGTAATTAGAAAATAGTCATTTTAGCTTTTTCCAAAAAAAATATTGCAATTATTAATTTAAATATAGTTCCCGGTTCCTTTTGCCGAAAACGCGATTAAATTTTTTGTTGCCGTTCTCTTGTGAGTCCGTGATTTGCCTAAGTCGATGAACGCACGAATAACATCCGTCTATCACAAATTAGTTACCTATACAATGTAGGTAGGGCTGGAAAAGAGGAAGGGATCAAGGACTAGCCAGGCTAGTACGATCCATTTAGACTAAGTTGATACTGGCTTTTACGCTTTAGTTTTGGATTTAAAATTGATTTTTCGCTTTTTTAATTTTTTAAGATGTTCCGATGAAAAATTAGGGTCAGTTTCGAATCTGATTAAAATTTACAATCACTTTTTTTTTGTTGGCGGCGTTAAAATATACGTTAAAATGTCGCACCCGACATTGCGGCAGAAACATTTGTAAACTAAATCTAAGCTAGGGTCGTCGGTTCATGAAAAACCATAGGTTTTGAATTCAATTACCGACAACCCTAATCTAACAATAAATAATTTTTAAATTAAATTTTTAGCAGTTATTGTCAACTTCTTCAATTAATAAAAAAGAAAAATCTCGTCAAAATGAATTAATTAATTATTTATTTCCTCATTGCGTTGAAACAAAAATAAACAAAAATAAATGGTTAAGAATTGAACAAGAAGAAGAAGAAAATTATTTTAAGCAAAAAGAAGGCCAATTTTATTTTGATAAAGAAGGAAATAAATGGAATTTTGTTAAAAATATTAAAAATGAGAAAGATTTGGATTTTATTATTAAACAAAATTTTCTTAAAATTTGGGATGAGAAAAGTGGAAAAATTAGTTTTTGGTAAGGAAATTTTAAGAAAATGTTTTTTGGAGAGGCATTTTAAATAAAATTAATTTCCAAGGGAGTCTGTTAAGGTTCTAAGATATTCCCAACCCCCTCGATATCCCTCCAAATAAGCTATTTCCCTTTTACTCCTTCCAAATCCTTTGATATTCTCTTTAATCCCTCCAAATCCTCCCTCCTTCCTTCCTAATCTCATTGGACTATTAAAACTCAACTGAGGCACATATTTTTTTATTTGGACGGAATTTTGGTCCGACTAAGTTTTGTTTTGTCTAAGTTTTGCCTTGACACAGTTTCCATTGCCATATAGTGTCAGGCTAATAAAAGGTTTAGACAAAACACAAAATTCGGGCTAACTAAACCGTTCAAAAAATAAGCCTTTTAATGGGTGAGGTCATTTTGGTCAGACTGTATTTTGGTAGGAAATCGGACGAGAGATCTGACTTGAAGTGTTGTGCGAGGATTGTTATTGATATCTCGAAAAATATCAATCCCGATATTTTTGATTGAAATAAGTCTGTCCTATTTCTTTGCCTGATTTTTGAAGACCAAGTTTTGTCCCTTTAACTAATAAATATTTTTGTAGAAGAAAATATTTTAAAATTAAATTTAAATAAATTGCAAATTTTCTTTCTAATTTTAATAATTATTTTTATTTTTAAAGTTGTCGCTATACTTTTAATTGTTTGTGTCCTTTTCGTGCTATTTTACTTAAAGACAATGGCTCTTTATTTACCAGATTTGATCATAATCATGCAATTCATGAAACAATTTTTTGTTAAAAATTTATCTAAGAAAATCCAATTAAAATCGAGTAAATATAAAATTTACAAAATATTTTTTTGTTTTAAATTTTGATCTCTATAAAATTTTTTTTTGAAATTTATTATTGTAAAATAATGTTTAAAATAAAATTTTTTTGTTTTTTTTTTAATTTTTTAAAATCGAAAATTGTTAGATTAACATGGTGAAAGGATATTATTTAAAGAAAAATTATCATTATTAACATTTTTGAATGACTTATTTTTCATGATTCAAAAGTCCAGGATAAGATTAAGACTTTTTAAAGATTACCCTTGCTCAAATAATTACTAATAATTATTTCCTTAATATTTTTTTAATTTACATAAATTTTTTTGCTAAAAATATTAGAATACATGTACTAATTTATTTTAGTTTTTTTTTATTTTCCCTAAGCTATTAATTAAACAGGAAATAATAAGATTTATTAAATAATAAATTTTTGATTATTACAACTACTTCAATTCTAATTAAACCCTTGGGGTTGAAAAAACATCTCTAACAATAATAACCACATCCTTGACTTAACATAGATGTACTATTATATAATAATATTATTTCTGACAGATTTATTTTTTTTTGTTAATATTTGACAGTTAATTGAAAAGATAAAAAGGTGGAGAAAATTTTTAACTTTATTAATATTCCAATAAAATAATTTTACTTGTTTTGTGGATTCTCAAATTATTTAGTATTTAAATCCTAAACATTTATTTTAAAAAAGGAAGTAACAGTGAGGGACAAAATAAATTATCCAGTTAATCATCCTCTAATATATCTGCTCAAAGGGAGAAGAACACCGGTGTAGCTTAGCAAAGGTATTAGCTTGGGTCTGGCCATTTCCAAAAGCTATCCTTCGGGAACATAATGTATTTGTGCCTAAATTAGGCTTATACTAGAATAGTCTTAGCAAACTTATATCTCACTGCTAAACATTTTATTACATTAATTCAAGTTTTCTTGATAAATTTCGTCAATTTAGTTAGTATATTTGGTACATAGTTTCAATTTCGAGTGCCCAGCCTTAACAATATTAATATAATATGGAATATATTTTATGGAATCGGAAAGAATTCGACATAATTTATAATTGTACGGGAATTAATGTTGATGATATTCCAATTGAAAAAAGAAGATATCCAATAGCTGCAATTATTTGTATTTTACTTGGATTTATATATTATGTACGGAATTTTTTTAAGAAACTTTTCTAAATTTAAAATTAAGCCTATATATTTTCCTTGTCTTTACTCTTTTTGGAAAAATAGAAACAAAAATCCTTGTTATAAGCTTTTAATTTATCTTTCAATTTTGGATATTGGCATACTTTGGTTGCCAACTTTCTCTGCTGGAATTTTTAGTTTAAACGGTGTTGTTTACTGTACTTCCCCAATATCCACATATGTTGTTGGGTGTGCTTGTTTATGTAAGTTTTTAAGAGTGTCCTAAATAACCGGAGCCGAATCCATAAATTTCCTAATACTGGACATTTTAGGATCCGGATATCCGGACTGGTGCTTTAAAATTTGTTCTATATTTTAACGTGATACCATGTTGATACAGGAGAAATCTTTTGATTTCTGGAAGGTCAGGAAGTTAAGGACTAATCATTTTCAGTGCCAGATCTAAAATTTTCCTTGTAGTTTCCAGACCTATTCCTTGTAGTAGTTTTGAAAGTTACCACTGAAACAGTTCGGGGAACATTTATAAAATTTAAATTTTTAGTTTTATGGGCTGCTGAATGTTGTGCAGATATGGTTTCACATAAATAAAAATATTTGTATTAAATATTTATTCTTTAGATTTTGGGAATTAATCGTTGCCTCGAAATGGCATTTCCAAATATTTCCAACATACTTTTTCATAACAATCGTGTTTATATTTGGATTATTTTTTGTAATTTATATGGACTTTATTGGCTTTTATTTATACATCCTTATATTTTTAATGGACTGACTTTTGAATATTTATTTGATCCTTTAGTTGGATATAAAGATTTTAGAATGGAATTAGTTAATTTTTAATTTAGTCATTTATAGTTTAAAGTAAGGAACACCCCGATCAGTCTGGACGTATGTAGGTGAAAAAGATTTTCCGCAGCCCCAACCCGCAGTCCTCAAGTAAAAAAACTAGTCAATCTGCAATTGCGTCCAGCACTGCCCCTTCAAGATCGTGATTGTCGAGGATTGGCGTTTGCTGAGGTCGGAGGTCGAGGCTGGGGTTAATTACTTAATGCATATTAAACTTTAAAATGGAATTAGTTAATTATTTAATTTATTCATTTATTTATTAGTTTAAAGAAGATTTAAGAGAATTTACTATACACAACACAATTTTGGCTATTGGTTCACCAATAATTTATTCAATTTTTTCACTTTGCGTTTTTTTCAAAGCCCGTGAATTAATTGATAATGTTTCGAAGGAAGAGAAAATGGTTAAAATTTATATACAGTCAAGCAATTTTTGGATATAGTGTAGAGTACCGGTGGTAAAAGTTCGGGACTTGACATATGTCATTCGATTCGTCTCGACGAGCTGAGTCGAGCGGTACCACTCCCTATTCAGGAAATTACACTACAGCCCAATTTTTTATTTAGCCCGCGAGGAAATCGTATCTTATAAATTAAAATCATTTTAAAAATTTATACTGCACGTTTGTTCGTATAAATAAATTAATGCATATTCCCCATGAATTTTTTAAATTAAAAGTCAAGACATTTAGATAATCAAACAAAAATTGTTAATATTTAAAATTAAATTCTAGCGAAAACAATTTTTAAGGTTTTTATTCAAGTATTTATTATTTCAATGTTCAATACATCAGCAGCATTTGCCTATGCTTACAATATGAACCATCCTGATCATGGAATCTTTCCATTGATGGTTGCACATTTTGCTTGGTAATTAATTAACTATTTTTTAATTTAATTATTTTATTTTAAGGATTCAAATTCATGGTAAATAAAAAAATAAATTTAAATATTTTTTAAATTTTGGAGGTTTCCCCCCAGTTATTTATTTAACATTAAACAAAACTGTTCGGACTGACACAAAAATTCTATTTGGAAAATTCATCAGTTTATTTAAAGCAAATCAAAATAAAGTTTCAAGTATGCTTGGATATACTTAATATTCTGTTAATGAAAAAAATAAAAATATTTCCGTTATTTCGGCTGTATAACCCCCTTAAGATGATAAATACAATGTAATACATTATTCAGTTTGTGAATTACTTGCTAATTTTTTGAATAAAGATCTTGTGTTCTATATCTTTTTTCGGTTTATGCTTCTCAATAAATTATTGTAGATACACTCTGTCCCATAATTATAAACGCACCCATATTTTTTAATTTTACACTTGAAAATTTGTTCAAGTGTGTATGCTACAATGAAATTAAATATCTACATATCTATGATTTCATCAAATAACAAAAGATAATTTACATATACATAATTTCCTACATTTTACAATACAATATATACAAATTATCACACAAACACAAAATTATCTATACTATATCAATTCTTCTAACTTCCGAGTAATACGGTCGCTTGGAACCAACATGGAAGCACAAACACAATATTCTTGTGGATTATTAACACCGAAGAATTCGTACTCAGCAACCTTACAAAAGTCTTCCACTTCCTCCTCCGCTCTCAGAAAATAACATTCCTCGTCTTTAATCATTTCTCCACGCAATTTCCATCCAGAATTTTCATAGTAAAAGCTTTTATCTCCATGAATCACCACGTGATGATACAAAAATTGATATCCTTCAAGGAAAGAGTAGGTTCCTTCATCGTAAAGATACAAAGAGTTTATGTGGAATTTCAACGGAGAATCATCAAAAAATAATTCAATAATTTCCGGATTGATATAGCCCTGTTCGATTTTGAAGTTTTCGATGAAACAATGAGAAAGCTTCTTAAGCCAAAACCGAAAAACAATCATTTCCTCAATTGTGTCTGGATATTGTTTTAATTGCAAACGAAGAATTTTGGGAGATTTTCCATCTAAAAATTAAATGGGAAAATTTAATTGATATGAGATAAGTGTCTTCACCTGTTTCTTTTGATACAAGAAACAAATTAGCAATTTCATTCATTTTATAATCACCAATTGCCACATCAAAGTATATACGAGAAGAGTATTTCTTGTAATAATGGTAATTATGAATCCTTTCTTGAATTGCTGTTTTCCACTGAAAATTAATGTTAAAAGAAGTTGTAACTAAGGAAACCTTCAATTCGCCTTCCTCGCCTAAATCGAAGTCCAATTCATTAGGATTATATTCCAACTCTTTACAGACATCTTTAAAACAAAAACCTTTACTAATAACAAATTAATTTTTAAAACCCTACAATTTTTCCAAACAACCAATTCCACAGAATAGAACACTTTCATAGCCAATGCTTTGTTGTAATTGATGATCAATTCACAAAAATGATGATTTGACTGTTGAATGTTGTTTAATTGGTTGAAGTTGAGGCATTTGAAAATGTCGAGGGTTGTCTCAGCGGGTAGAAGATTCATCATTGTTATTTACTGAGATACAAAAAAGTTTATTTAAAAACTTCAGCCTTTTATAATGTATTTTTATAGGCTTACTTGTTAAGCACTAATCTTTTAATTTAAATAATCCCTAGTAATTCCTCTTTCACAGAAGGTTGAGAAAAGTGCTGCGTATGGCTTGAAGTGCTTAACTCTGGAGGACTTGAGACAATATTCGAAATGTCAGGAGCTAGAGCCAAACATTGAAGAGAGTCAACCGGAGCCATTTAGCATCAAATGCCCATCGCTAGTTCTGAATAAAAATAAAGATTATTATTGAATCCTGTATAAAAATTTTCAATTTTTCTATCATTCGTTCTATTATTCACATTACAATTGAAACAAACAAAAAGCCTCATTTTCATTCTGAATTATATATTTTGCATTTACGTATTTAAGAAAATACGTTAAAGTATAAAGTAATAATTATATATTCAGCCGACAAAAATTTCTGATAAAATAATTGTTTACGATTATGTTAAAATTGTACACCTGCCAATTAAATAAACGGAAAAGATGTTTAAATATTTAAATTGTAAACAGAAATTTTAAAAAAAGTTTAAACAAAATTTTTAAATTATAATTATAATGAATTATATATATTTTTTCCTATAATTACATATTAAAAATTTAAAGTCGAAACAGATATCTTTATTAGAATATATAGGGTTGTCGGTTCTGGACCGAACCGAACCGAACCGAAGAACCGATGATTTTTCGGTTCGGATATCGGTTCGGTTCCGGATATCCGAAAATTTCCGGTTGAAAAAGGAAGAAATCTGTCCTCTGGCCTTCCAAAATTCTCAAAATTTTTGCCTGCGGCTCTGAAAAAGGAAGAAATCTGTAATCTGGTCTCACACTTTAATCCCCCTTGATCAATTCAGAACCCCTTTTATCACCCGATATCAAACCACTTATATCCAACAAATTTCTTATACCAACTACTAATCCTTAATAACATCTTAACCTCAAAAAAATTTTCGGTTCGGTCCCGGATATCCGAAATTTTCGGTTCGGTTCCGGATATCCGAAATTTTCGGTTCGGTTCTTCGGTTCGGTTCCGGATATCCGAAGATTTTCCAAGAACCGACAACCCGAAGAATATAAGTATATTTCCTCTATGAAAACTTGATCAAAATTGAACCTCATTATTGGTTACATCCATTACTAAATTTACTAATAAAATTTAAAATAATTTTTTAACTTGCCCACTGAATGGGGTAGCTGTCTATGCGATACACACAATTTAAGATATACCTCATACTAAAATACAATTTTGCACCCATAAGGGTTTATCTTTTAGTGAGGTTCAACTTAATAAAAATTTTTTAGAAATATTTTAAATAATGGAATATATTTTGTGGAATCGTAAACAATTTGACATAATTTATAATTGTACGGGAATTAATGTTGATGATATTCCAATTGAAAAAAGAAGATATCCAATAGCTGCAATGGTAATTTTCAATTTCGTTCCCCCCCCTTCTTTTTTCCTTCCTCAAAGTATTACGAAATGGTCATTCAATCTTAAGATATAGAACTCGTCGAGCTGTGTCGAATGACACCAAAATCAAAAAAATCGGACCTGATTTGACCGAGATACAGACCCCTGAAAATTGAACAACCATAGGGGTGATTTTTTGGACTAAAAAATTTTTATCCAACTGATAGCTCATTCGAAAGAGCTCTTCGAGCTGAGTCGAATGACATATAAATCAACGCGATTAGACATGGTTTGACAAAGTTATGACCTGAAGTAGACCTAACGGAGTCTGCGACTTATGTCATAACTTCGTCAAAACTGGTCCAATCACGTTGATTTTAGTGTCATTCAACTCAGCCCGAAAAGCTCTTTCGAATGAGCTATCATTTGTATAAATTTTGGTACCTATGTTTTTTCGCCCCTATGGTTGTTCAATTTTCAGGGGTCTGTATCTCGGTCAAATCAGGTCCGATTTTTTTGATTTTGGTGTCATTCGACACAGCTCGACGAGTTCTATAACTTAAGATTGACTGACCATTTTGTAATACTTTGAGGAAGGAAAAAAGAAGGGGGGGAACGAAATTGAAAATTACCGCTGCAATTATTTGTATTTTACTTGGATTTATATATTATGTACGGAATTTAAGAAACTTTTCTAAATTTAAAATTTAAGCCTATATATTTTCCTTGTCTTTACTCTTTTTGGAAAAATAGAAACAAAAATCCTTGTTATAAACTTTTAATTTATCTTTCAATTTTGGATATTGGCATACTTTGGGTACCGACATTTGCAACCGGAATTTTTAGTTTAAGCGGTGTTGTTTACTGTACTTCCCCAATATCCACATATATTGCTGGGTGTGCTTGTTTATGTAAGTTTATTTTAGAATGTCAATTAGTAAGTTCATTTGGAAGCTCGATGAAATTTTTTGCGAAAATTTTCAATATATATTTTGCCGAGATTTGCCGAATCCAAAAAATTGACGATAAAGAATTTTTTGGATCCTGATATCTGGATTGGTGCTTTAAAATTTCTTATACATTCATTTAGAGTAGATATAGACCGATTTTAACGAGATACCATGTTGAGGTTTCTAAAAATCATTAAATAATTTGAACTTAGCGGCACTAGTTTTTTAATGTTTAAGGCTCAATTGAAAATATTTATTAAAGGAGAAATCTTTTGATTTTTGGTAGATTTTTAGTGTCAGAACTAAATTTTCTCCACGTGTCCGTAATCTGTTCCATGTAGTAGTTCTGAAAGTCAATCACTAAAACAGTTCGGGGAATATTTAAAATTTAAATTTTCTAGTTTTATGGGCTGCTGAATGTTCTGCAGATATGGTTTCACATAAATAAAATTTTTCTAAATATTTATTCTTTAGATTTTGGGAATTAATCGTTGCCTCGAAATGGCATTTCCAAATATTTCCAACATACTTTTTCATAACAACCGTGTTTATATTTGGATTATTTTTTGTAATTTATATGGGCTTTATTGGCTTTTATTTATACATCCTTATATTTTTAATGGACTGACTTTTGAATATTTATTTGATCCTTTAATTGGATATAAAGATTTTAGAATGGAATTAGTTAATTTTAATTTATTCATTTATAGTTTAAATTTTAAAGTAAAAAGTAATGCTCCAACCCAGCCCAGAGCAGGACGTAGGTGAAAAAGATTTTCCGTTGCCGCAACCCACAATCCTCAAGTAAAAAAACCCGCAATTTACTCAATCCTCAATTGCGTCCAGCCCTGACCTTTCAAGTTTGAGGTTGGGGTTGGTTGAGATGGGCAGTCGGGGTTTGGGGCTGGGGTTAATTCGATATAAACTTTAGAAAGATATTAGCTAATTAATTTAATTTTAATTTATTTATAGTTTAACGAAGATTTAAGAGAATTTACTATACACAACACAATTTTGGCTGCTGGTTCGCCGATAATTTATTCAATTTTTTCACTTTGCGTTTACTTCAAAGCCCGTGAATTAATTGATAATGTTTCGAAGGAAGAGAAAATGGTTAAATTTATATACAGTCAAGAAATTTTTGGATATAGTGTAGAGTACCGGTGGTAAAAGTTCGGGACTTGACATATGTCATTCGATTCATCTCGACGAGCTGAGTCGAGCGGTACCACTCCCTACTTAGAAAACTACACTACAGCCCAATTTTTTATTTAGCCCGCGAGGAAATCGTACCTTATAAATTAAAAATCATTTGAAAAATTCATACCGCATGTTTTTTCGTATAAATAAATTAATGCATATTACTCACGAATTTAATAAACTAAAAGTCAAGACTGTTAAAAAATTAAAGAAAAATTGTTAATATTGAAAATTAAATTTTTAAATTAAAATATTTTTAAGGTTTTTATTCAAGTATTTATCATTTCAATGTTCAACACTTCATCAGCATTTGCTTGTGCTTACAATATGAATCATCCTGATCATGGAATCTTTCCGTTGATGGTTGCACATTTTGCTTGGTAATCATTAACTATTTTTTAATTTAATTAATTTTATTTTAAGGATTCAGATTCATGGTAAATAAATATTTTAGTATATTTTGTTTAAAATTCTTACATTTTTTAGGTTTCCCACCAGTAATTTATTTAACATTAAACAAAACTGTTCGGAATGACACAAAAAAGTTGCTTGCAAAATTTTTCAGTTTATTTAAAAAAAATAAAGTTTCGAATATGATTGGACCTAAATGAAATTAATTATAAGTATGTAGATAAATATTGTATATTCGGTTATTGAAAAAGTAAAACTCGTTATTTCGACTCCTTTTAGGCAGGGCTCTAATCCTAACTAATTTTGGGAGTTTATGTATATCTTTTTTTCTATTTCTGCAAATCTTATATTTTGTAAATTCTTACACTTTGTAATTATTAATTAAACTTTTGGTATTTTAACTAAACATTTTTTCGATAATAATCCTTCTTTTAAGTATGATAAATTAAATATTTTATTATTAATTTTGTAAAATATTTCCTAATTTTTAGAATAAAAAGTTTACAATCTTATAAATTTTTGTATTTTAATGAATGTGATGATCAACAAATTTTTAAATTAGCCACAAAATGCAAATTTAGCTTTGTAGAGTCGATTAAAATTATTTTTTCTTAAGCAAACTTAACGTTATTTTTTTTGTTTCTTTAAAAACAGGGTTACGATAGGTACTTTTTTGAAAGTATGTACTTTTAAATCAACATGTTGGATCGAAAATGAAATAGGGGAAGACATTGGGCAAAAAAGTGAATTTTTCTGCCTACGGCCTTAAAAATTTGTAACATTTAGGATATCCAAAAACAATTAAAGATAGAAAAAACCAAAAATAGTGTATTAAGAATGAAAGTTAA